GAGTTAAACGGGCGTGATATTTTGCCGTGATGTCAATTAGCGTTATACAGGTGCGCTAACATTTTATCCTATAGGCGCGTCAATGAAAATGACTTTTTTTCACTTTAAACGGTCTTTATTTTGGGTATGTGACAAATAGCGTAACTTCATTTCTGAATTTATTGAACTCGGTGAATAATATTATGCTCGCCAGACGCTCGCATAATATAAATTTATTCAACTCGTGCAATAATTTCAGTAGTGAATATATTATCATACTCGTTCAATATCCTCTATATCTTATTTTTCCGTCTTAAATCAATACACACGATTTATTCATTGGTGAAGTAAAACGTGGTTATACCTGTGCTTTTTTATTTTGGTGAGATTTGGATATCAACAAAATGTGAAAAGCGGCTATTAAAGTTTTGGAATCCAGAATAACTACGACCAATCCCAATCAAATAAAAGAAATACAGAACAAAAACAAATATTTAAATTTCATCAAAAAACGAACTTGTTTTGTAGTTAAAGGTAAATGGACGGATAGATAAAAAAAATATGATGCTTATAACAATACAACGCAATAGTTTTTTTTAGACCAATACAAAACATTGCGCGACGTGTTTTACGTTAGCCTGTTTCCACGATAATAATGAGGGTCCATCCGCCAGTTAAGACACAAAATGCAGCTTTCGCTGCCGAGTACGGACTCCGGAAATGTCACCGGTCTTGCCTTTTTTTTAAAGAGTTAATTTTGAAACACAAAATGGTGATAAGTAACCTACATGCAATTTCCACAGAGTATCAAATGGAGGTTAGTCATGAAAAGATCTGTTTGTGCCGGCAAAGGGCACCGCCGTTTAAGCCGTTTAGGTAGTACCTTTTCTCATCGCCCCTGCCTGCCTTCTCTGTCTCAGAACATCGGCAGATTGCGATATAAAACTAAACCAGTCCTCCAATAATAAATTGAGCCGCGTCATGACAAAACCAACATAATGGGTTTGCATGGATGCATGGATCCAGACCAGCCTGCGCATCCGCGCATCCATGCTGTTCGCTTATATGCCCTTTTACAAGTAGAGAAACTGATAGCGAACAGCATGGATCGTGATCAGACTGCGCGGATGCGCAGGCTGGTCTGGATCCATGCTGGTCGCAAACGGATTACGTTGGTTTTGTCGTGACGCGGCTCAATTATATATACAATAAAGACGCTCGGCTCTTAACCAGTCAACGTGTCCTGCACATTGGATTGACATGTGTATGTTCAGAATTATTCACTACATGTATTTAGCAATGAAAATTAGTAAGCGGTCGGATATCTCAATCGGTAGACCAATCTTCCGACGGTCCCGGGCTCGAGTCCCGGCCACGCTGCACATTGTTCTCATCCTGTGACAGACTTGACCCTAACTGATGAATGTTTATGTCCATAGCACAAAACTTCATTTATTACAAACTTGAAATATTTTAACAAAAAAAAATATCATTTTTCTCAAGCCGTCACTTTTAGCCCCCGTACAAATATTTTATGAAATTGCGAAACGAGATAGTATCTCCAGTAAATGGACAGTTATCAATAGCAATGAATTTTCCTTAATTTGCGAAACATAAATATATCAACGAAGATTATGATCCTCCCGTAGTAATCAGTAATTTTTCCATTTCTGCAGCAATCTGTCATCACTGGCGCAACTAATATGGCGTGAGTCTAAACATAGTAAAATACATGTCTGCTCTTTTTGAAAAAGCATAGTGTGCCTTTAAAGGAAATAAACTTTCGTCCACATTATCGATGAAATTAAGCCCATCAATGCACATTTAAGATTAAACTTACATTAGATTATCATGGTGGCTGATTTGTGCCATTCGTGTCGCCAAGCGAAAAGTCATTAATAAACAAGTTAAAATGGCGGGGCGCGGAGCGAAAACACGCTAATTAGCGAGGGCGCGGCGCGAAGTTTAATAAATAAAACTTTTCCCCGCGGGGGCGCGGGCGAGATTAAAGAAATTAAACCACGCTTATTATCTCCCCCCCCCCCGCTAATAAGCGTGTTTTCGCTCCGCGCCCCCGAGGGCGCGTGGCGAAGTGTTATTTATTTAACTTCGCCCCGCGCTCCCGCTAATTATCGTGTTTTCGTCTCGCTACCCCCCGTTTAATTTCTTAAATCTCGCTCCGCGCTCCCGCTGGACGAAGTTTTTTATTTAACTTCGCCCCGCGCCCTCGCTAATAAGCATGTTTTCGCTGCTAGCACCCGCCATTTTATTTCTTAAATCTCGCTCCGCGCTCCCGCGGGACGAAGTTTTTTTATTTAACTTCGCCCCGCGCCCTCGCTTATAAGCGTGTTTTCGCTGCGCGCCCCCACCATTTTATTCCTTTAATCTCGCTCCGCGCCCCCGCAAGGCGAAGTTTTATTCATTAAACTTCGCCTCGCGCCTTCGCTGCGCGCCCCCACCATTTTAACTTATTAATTTTCGACTTTTCGCTTGACAGGGTCGCGGGACGAAAACACGCTAATTGGCGAGGGCGCGCGGCGAAGTTTTATTTATTTAACTTCGCCCCGCGCTCCCGCTAATTATCGTGTTTTCGTCTCGCGACCCCCCGTTTTATTTCTTAAATCTCGTTCCGCGCTCCCGCGGGACGAAGTTTTATTTATTTAACTTCGCCCCGCGCCCTCGCTAATTAGCGTGTTTTTGCTGCGCGACCTCGCCATTTATTTCTTAACTCTTGCTCCGCGCCCCCGCGAGGCGAAGTTTTATTCATTAAACTTCGCCCCGCGCCCTCGCTAATAAGCGTGTTTTCGCTGCACGCCCTCGCCATTTTAACTTGTTAATTTTCGACTTTTCGCTTGGCGGGGTCGCGGGGCGAAAACACGAATGGCACAAGTCAGCCACCATAGGTTATTGAGAATACAGGATTTACAGAAATGTGAAAAGGAAATGGGCACATGCTGTTCATTTTTAAAGGAAGTTAAGTTGACTTGTGTATATGAGCAAATATTCCAGTGCATCCGGGCGCTTTAATTGTGAATTATTATTATAAGAATAGAACAGAACAGAACATTTTTAACTATACAATATGTCTTAAACCTAAATGCAAACATACACATTTAACATTTTGATATATCGTAAGATATTATGTGATTCACTCAACTCACTCGATTTCTGCTTTTCGGGTTCTGAGATGCTTACCAATCTTAGTTTTATTTAAAAGCCTAAAAAATACTACATAATTTTTATTCAGTTAGAAAGGACAAACATGAATTTAATAAAGTTCAAATAATGGTTCGAGAGAATGTTAGATGATTGTTACCTGAAGACAGTAGCGATAAATGTGAAATATTTTGTCATAAAAGTAGCAAAATGTAAACAAATGACAATATACAACATATTTATTTGATAATAAGGCAATAATCATTTAACGTTCCACGATTAACATGATTTGATATACCGGTATACATGTACATGTACAAATAATATGGTATATATTAATATCTGTGGGCGTAATGTCTGTATCGTTGTATCCCAACTTGAACTCAATAATGTGCAAAAAATTATTCAATTTTGTTCAGCGTATACATTATGTCTCTAGAAATTAATTGTACTTATTATATATAATTATGTATGTATATTTTTATTCAGGTTTTTAAGTGAACAATTATAACTGATAGGTAATTCAAAATGCAAATTAATTAAGATTTTACAAGTTTAAAAGTACTTGTTTGTTAAAAATACTTTTTTTTGTGAAAAAAAAATCATCATCAAACTAAAGTTTGCACTTCAGAAAACAGTTGATTTTTCTCTTCGCCAGAACCATTCTAAACATCAATTGATACTCCCTTGATGATATGGTCTTAACAACACTAATCTTTGGTTGTCGGCACCGAAAAGAAAGTGATTATACAGTTTAATTAGGATATAGAAAATGTACATTAACCCCCCCCCCCTCAAGCAAATAAAAAACCATTGTATTATCACATCATGGTATGGGGAATACTTTGTTTTTGAGTATATGCATTACCAACTGCTAAAATTCTGTGTCCCCTCTTGATAAATGTTTTTGATCCGCGCCTGATTCAGACACTCAGATACTTTAAAACATCTGGTGACGTCATCAAACATCGGAATCGTATTTAGAGACGTCCCTATCTCACAATGATCGCAATTTTATCAGTATTAAATGAACTGTCAGTACATCATCGTTAACTTGAAACAAAAAATAAAGACGTTATGTATACGGGATATATACGTGTACACGAGTATCTATCAGTCCACGCCTGATGATTTTTTTGCACCCACACACAAAAAAGTAAGTGAATATCAAAACTTTGATCCATATATTGAAGGAAAATGGGCTCTGATCCTACCCATGAGCGAGTCCGGCACGGAGTTGGTGGTCAACTCATGACCCATCTTTTAATTATTTGCCTACTAAATGCAATTGAACTTGAATATCAAATGACTTTTCTTTGATGAAAATCATACAAAAGCTTGCGAAAATCCGCAAAATTTTACTCATGACGGTAAAATGCGCCCCACCCCCTCTCAATATTTTACGACCCCTTCTGATAAATAAATCCCGGTGACGCGCCTAGCTGCAACCTTGATCCGCGCATGTCACCGAATCTGAACACAATAAAAGCCATGCTGGCGCACGTAGAATTTATTTTAATTAAATGTATTTAAATTAATAATGTAGATCTATTTTAAAATTAACAGTCGGCTTGTGAAAGCTACGTAACTCGTACCGATAAAATAATTATACTTTGACCAAAAGCACATTTTATATATTTTTATGCGAAACGATCAATTGTGCTAAATTCTGTTTAATTTATTCTCATTTTACATTCTTACATAACATCTGAAATGAAAATACAAAATGCGCTTAAAAACACCTGCACAACACGAACGCGTCTTTTCTACTTTCGTTTTAGTCGCTGCAGCCGTGACGTTACCTCCTAATTTGCATAAAGATGCTTCGCGGATAGTTTTACCAGCATCCCAGCCTCGTTATCGAAATCACGAGATGCTCATTTCCGTATTGGAACAAGTTAACAGTAGCGAATGAGTGACTTCCTACAACCATGCAATGAATCGGATAAAAATGAATATGGAAAATGACTTAAGTTTAAGACATCTTCAACATATACTAAACTTCTTTTTCGATATAGTCTAGCAGCCAAATTTGGCGCAAGAAGACAGGTGTCTCCATGAAATGCCGCAGTGAGTACGCGACCTCGGAATCGGGATCCAAGATGGCGGTGTGTGGAGAGGAGGCTATGGACAGAAGTACTAGCTCGGCAGGCACATACCCGGACTTTGATGACCGAGGCCACGGGCATTTTTTCGTGAAAAAGACTTTTCACAAGCCAACATACTGTCATCATTGCACAGATATGCTGTGGGGACTTATAGGACAAGGACTTGTGTGTGAAGGTAGGTCCGATTTTTTCTTGGATTTTAAGGAGAAAAGATGCATATTTCAACATGACAGATCTGTAATGTACTTGAACTTTCTATTCAAACTGTAGTGTTATCAATAAAAGCTTTGTTTGGTTTTTGTAAATGTGTAAAGCCCATACAGTGTGAAATATATGCTCGGATTTTGTATGCAATGAACAAACTGCTATGGTTATTGATTTTTCTAGGCCCTGGCCTTGATTTTGTCAGTTAAAGAGACTATTAACAGCCAGGGATTAAAGGGACTTGAAACCTTTTCCATTCACTATTTTAACACATTTTACCTCTTAACACAGTATCTGACCGACCACAGAGAAATAAATATGCAAGAGAAATACCTGCAACTGGTTTTAAATTTCCGGTTAAGATTATTGATAAAATGTCTGTATTAACATGGTTCGTAATTTATGTGGATATATAGGAAACAGGTCAACACTCTGTATATTGAATAAAATAAAGACATTTTTTTATAAACAGAATAAAAATTCAGATTGAATATTGGTAAGAATAGTAATAAAAAGGATGACAAAAACGGGTAAAATATTTCTCTATAACAGCATAAGTTGTATTAACGGAGATATTGGATTTTTCAATGGGGGAAAAGCTGAATTGACTAATGTGTATAAATGATGTTGTCAGATAATGAGAAAGGAGATCAATAAAGTAGTTTTATTCTATCATTGATAGAACTATAGCTCCATTCAAACATACAAATATCATACGAAACTCAAAGACTGCTCCTGTGACCATACTTAATACAATATAATATTCATTTTAGGCTTTTGATGCTTTAATCTCCAATATAATTATGATTATAATTTATATAGACCAAACACTGCAAGGTTTGTGAATTAAATACTAGAAGCATAGTTACAAGCTTAACCTGTACTTTTGAATGGAAACCATTTTGTTGATTCCTTCCTATCATAAATCTGGGTGTACATACTTTTCTGTTTGTTTTAGAAAATATTTGAGTTGAAATTACATATTTTTGTAAGTAGATCTAGCAAGATTTTTATATTTTTAAATTTATGAAATGTTTAAAGTGAATTGGCCAGTAATACCATAAATATTTATGTTGATAATGTTTCTAGTACTGTATCATACATCAAACACTTGTACATGAAAATAAACTACAAATTTATGAATATCATATTGGTGTTATTGGTAAGTATGATGTGCAAGCAGCATAAGCTACATATTATACTTATATAGATAATAATGAATTGTTAAAAATTATTAAATATTATTTTTAATCAAGAAAATGTTCTGAAACTCTTATGAACATTATTGTATGAAGAAATTTTATGACAATATTCAGATGATACATTTCTATCCTTTTCATCAATATTTGAAATGCTTACTATCTTAAGAAAATATGGCTAAAGTCCTGCAGACAACTTTTTAAAGGGGCTCCATTTTTCTTTTTTAAATTCATAATAGCTCCAGATAATTTTTTTGGCCAAGGGGTTTTTACCACTTAAAATCTAGAGTGAGTGGTAAAATGCAAATTCTGAAATATGTAAGGGGTAAAATCTGTAAAAAAAATGCATTTTGCATTTTTTTATAATAAGCAAATTAACTCATTTTTTTTTCTTTTTTTTTTTTTTTCTTTTTTTTTTTTTAGAAAAACTTTTACAAATAAAATATTGATTCAATGTGAAACAAGACAAAACATGTAAAGGCAGACTTCCCAAGGCTAGAGCATACTGGTTCTCAAGTTTAGAACACACAGCAAAATTATATATTTAATGTCATTATTATTTTTCTTTTTTTGTTCCATGATAAACAGCTGAATTTTTGTTCAGGAATATCATTGTATTAAGCTGAAATTTGCATTCTCAGTAATTCATGATTACTTTATTTTTAATTCATGATTTCTATATTTGTTTTCCTATTTTCTCTGATTGTTCAACTTCTGTATTTAAATTGAAAATAGAATATTGTTAAATTAAAATACTGGTCCTTTTTGAAACAGTATAAATATCATTGGTAATTTTTGAAAGGATAAATAAATCAGGGTCTTCAGAACTGTAGCACTAGTTATCGATATCCAACACTAAATGGTCAGGGCTCTAGCAACTGGCCGATTAAGTCACCTACAGTAAATGAACTTGGGCGAATTTGAACATCAAAGCAAAATCGACTTCTACGCGCTTTTTTACTTACTGCATAAACAGTTCCTTACCAAATCACATAGCGCTTGACTATAAATTAAATCCTTGCCTCTGGGCGTAAGTAAAAAGCGACTGCCGATAATTCAGTCATCAAATTTAGCACTGGCCCGGTGGCCCATGGTGAGTGTAAATTAGTTTGGGCCAGTGTAAATTTTAAGAAAAAATAGTTAAATATATAGTAGAATAAATCCAAAACTAGAATTCGGGCCAGTAAATTAACTGCAATTAACACATCTGTGTGACATGATATGCAGCTCTAATGATTTTCCTGCTTATGTAACAGACTCTGATAAAAGGCCTCTTCCCAATTGAAATTTTCTTTACAATCATGCAGTTTTCCTAAAAATCTGAACTTAAACCTGCCTGTATTCTTCCCAAATTAGCAATTTTAGCGATAATTTTCCCCAAAATCAAGAGGTTAAAGCCTCTTCCCAATTAAGTGAGAAAAAGCACTGAGCTCCATCAGACATATTGCCAACTAATTTGCCGATGTAAACAACCAAATTAATAATGCATAACTTATATAAAGGGGAAAATATAGTGTGATAAATCAGAAAGAGGGGGAAACCTGAAACCAAATTCCAGCAACTGAAAATGGAATTTACCTACAATTTTATGAGAGAAAAAATAATTTCAATTCAATGTAACACACATGGTACATAGCATCTAGCAATTTATAGGGATTATAGCTTTCTGTCTTGTAGCTGTTAAAGTCAGATGCATTTAAGTCATGGTTCTGGTAAGGAAGAGCAGTGTCTATTCTAGGAGGGGGATGGGGGGATTCACTCATATTTTTGATATTTCCCCACTATTTTTTCAAAGACGGGGGAAATTTTACTTGGAGAAAGAAGAAAAAAGTCAATAAATGTAAAAAAATTCTCACTTTTCGATACAAATCCCCCCTGTTTTTCAAATCCTAGAATAGACACTGGAAGAGCATAAGGCATTTTAGGGGAAAACATTAGCATTTTTAGGGGAAAATATACGTATTTTGAGCTAGAAACACATGGTCATATAGACTTAAATCTGAGCATGAGGACCATTAATTCATAGAATGCTGCTAAAAATTAAAGATAGGGAGTAGGGATAATTTTCATTCATGATATCATTGATATGTTGATGTCAAGGTCTCAGAATATTTATTTCATAAACAATAACATTTTCATTTTCTCAACTTTTTTATTTACATGTAAAAGGGATATGGAGTATAATTAACATCACAAAGAAGCTTGAAAATTACTTTAATTTAATAATTAAATAAATCAAAATAAGATTCCTATAGAAAAAATAAATACATAATGAATAATGCTGCTCAAATGCTTTAAAAGTATTGAGTATCGGTATTGATAAAATACCGTATCGTGTTTCACAAGTATCCGTATCGTATCGTATCGTTTCCTTCTGAAAGATATCCAACCTAACAGGTAGTAAAGATATATCTTTATATATATCAAATATATTCATGAAAACATTTCTTGAATGTAAACAAATACATATTATTTCATTTGTGCCAATGGTGAACAACATTCTGAACTTCAAAATCACACCGGCAAAAGCAGGCAACATCAAAAGACAAAATCAAAAGATAGTCTTGCATACCTATAGGCATTGGCGCTGGGCGGTAAAGGCTTGGCCTTTTATGATTTAATATTCTTTTAAAAATCAGTAAAAAATCAAGCCGCAATTACAACAAATACAAGCCACGCAATCATTGTGCAACAAAACAATGATCTACTGGTGCCTGTGCTTGACTTTTCTGGGTACTTAGCGATACTCGTTTGACAACTGGTGCCTGTTTGGGCTCCAGTCGGGGTTCGGGCTATGTCCACTTGGATGCCTTTAAAATCGGACGAATTATCCGACAGCACCCACCCAATGAGCAAGTATTTCAGCTGCTGCTGTCCAATTGTCACGGTGGCTTGTCTGATGCCTGCAGATATTACGATTTTTTGAGAAATAGACGCCTGTCATTTGTGACTGAGGCATTATACTATCTGCAGACAATCAATGGTGGTGATTGTACATTGCAAACAATCTGATATAGAATAGATACGAAGTTAACGTCCGGTTATAGCGTAACAGACGAAAAATGCCCTCCATGAGTGGTAAATTCTTTGTGAAATACCTGAAAAAGGGTCATTTGGTTTATTCCGTTTAGATCTATTTTAATTTTCATTTTTAAGAAAAAATACACAATTAGGATATTTTTTTTTCCACAATTGTCATGGTACCGAACCCATTCACAATATAAGGGAAAAATATTTTTTCGACTCACTTTACAGGGCTCATCCGGAAGGGCGATTCAGGCGATAACTTCGCCGTGTATATTCCAATTTCGCTCTCCCGATTGATCAAAGAGAAGTCAACATCGCCGATAAAATCTTAATTCCCAAATAGTAATTACTTAGCGATGTAAAGAGCAGAGATTGTATCCGCCCATATGAAGACCGCTAATTATCATTATCCAATCAGAGCGTCGCTTTATACTACCCTTCTACCTGTAAGCAAAGCGATAGACCGCCTACTCTAAACAGTAAATAATGAGAGCATCGGCCCGAAACGGTATGATAGTTTTGCGAGATTAATACGGGATTTGGCGATAATTATAGATTGTTTTTTCCCCGATTATCTAAACACGTGCAATCTTCCCTAATTGATATACACGATGCACTTCGATGGTGGGTTTTTAACCCGAGTACAGGGCGATGTGTAATGGATTTTTCACGGCTATCACAAAACTGTTAGTCAATTAAAAATAATCAATTTCATTAATGATCAGCGACACGATTAAAAACTTAA